ACTGTGACGGAACAGCTTGCGGGTACACGGTGTGCAAAAATAACGGGACGTGCCGGGTTGAAAACGCGGGTTTTTCTTGTTCCTGCCCACAGCAGTGGGTAGGGAGCAYGTGTGAACAGTCTGTCTACTGCTCACACAACAGGTGTGGGTCTCAAGCTCTCTGCGTTCCTCAACCTCAGTTATTCTCATACATCTGTGTATGTGCCCTGGGATGGTCAGGTAAGTACTGTGACAACAAAACCACATTTCTGACAGCAAAGTTTGTTGGTAACTCCTACATCAAATACACAGATCCACAGTATAGAAAGAGAGACCTCCAGCACAGTCGTATTTCTTTAAATTTTACTAGCAATCAAACTGAAGGCTTGGTATTTTGGATGGGAAAAGCTGAAGATGAAGACAATGATTTCCTTGCTCTTGGTATTGCCAATGGAACATTAAAAATTGTGGTTAATCTTGGAGAAAGAATCTCTGTTCCTCTAACTTATAGCAAATACTCCATTTGTTGTGGAAGATGGCATGCTGTTACTATAGTTCAAAACCAAACTTGTATTAAGGTGTATCTAGAGGAGGATCTAATTCTTTTTGAAGATATTGATCCACAAAGAAAATACACTGCTCTAAACTATGGAGGAATTTGTTATTTTGGTGGGTTTGAAATTGGGAAAGAAGTAAACACGGTCACTACGGGGCTTTTTCAGCAGGAATTCATTGGAAGAATTAAAGATGTTGTGCTCTTCCAAGACTCTAAAAAGATCCAGCTAATGAAAGCGGAAGGTTATAACATTTATAATGGAGATGATGGAAGTTAATTGAAGGAGTGATTTAGATGTTTTAAAAGCAGTGATTAGATTAACTTCCCTTTCCTTCTGTCTCTTGTGACAACTGGTGGTCTGAGATTAAGGAACCAGTGTAGAAAGCACTTAGCAATAGTCCCTGCATTTTAACTCCTTTTTCTTAATGTTATAGATTAATAGCATATATAAAATGTGGTCAAACTTTTTACTTTTTTTTTCAGCTAGTTGCTTGCAGATACCTTTTAATACTTACTTTAAAATAATAGAAGAGGCTGATATATTTATTTCATTTATTATGTTACATATAATTTTGTAGACAGATAAATAGCTTAGAAAAGTGACTGTTATGCCAGTATTTTTTTTACTTTGAGAACAACCAACCTGTTTCATCGAAATTCTACATGTTATTAAAAAGCATTGTTCCTTCATTTTTATAATTTTGTAATAGTAAGGCCAAAAGTGAAAAGTATGGGTGAGAAATGCATCTTTATATAAGATCTTTTTAAAAACTAAGCATCTGTAATAACTTGGATCCAAGTGCACAAAGACTGTTTAACTAATGAAGTTGTTCTCTCTGCCTCTGGCATCTCTATATGTTATGTTTAGATATATATTAATGTAACTGGGTGAAACTTATTCCATAGAGACTGTTTTCAGGCTACAGTATTAAATTTTAAAATAATGGTTTTAAGGGCAGAAAGGGTAGTTACGATGGTCTAATTTTAGATGAACTTTTAGCTCATAACTTTTCTACCACTCTACGTTAGTTAGTTCTACCACAGTATCTCTATTGCTGATTTTAAGACTGAAGGAAAAAGTAGAAATAACTTAATCTGCTTCAATCATTGATTTCCATCAGCATTAAAAAGCTTTACCTTTTCTCTTAATAATAATCTATCTTCAGTTGCCAGCTAAACAAATACAACAATTCTATCCAATGGAATTATACTGAAGTAAAATGCAAATGTAAAAAAAAAACTCTCTACATCTTAGATATCTAATGCCATTAAAAAAAAGTTAGTTAGTGCCATTATGTCTAACTGTAACATGTGATTTTATGTTATTTTAGCATGTACTAAATATGCTATTTCTAAACAAGACAGTGTTTTATCAAAAATTTTAGTCTTCAATTTACAAGTCAGAATCCTGCTTTAGAAAGTATACTGATGGAGTAGCTTATCTATAACTAAAACTCCTAAAAAGAATACAGCAACACAATACAATCATATCAGAGAATCCTTAAGGTTGGAAGGGACCTCAGAGGTCATTTAGTCCAACCCCGCCCCTGCTCATGCAGGGACACCCAGAGGACGGGGCACAGGGCTGCGTCCAGGTGGGCTTGGAAGGTCTCCAGAGAAGGAGACTCCACAGCCTCCCTGGGCAGCCTGTTCCAGGGCTCTGACACCCTCACTGTCAAGGAATTTTTCCTCAAGTTCCTGTGGAACTTTTGGTGCTTCGTTCTGTGGCCGTTTTCTCTAGTCCTATCAGTGGCCACCACTGAAAAGAGGCYGCTCCTCCTCCTCACTGCCTCCCAGCATTGTCTAAACAAAAATTAACCCTACCTTGCATTCAAGATTGCAGTAAGAGACCCTTAAACACAACAGGAGTCATTCAAGTAATTTGGACAATACATATCTTAAAATAATGCTCCCCAGATCCTACGGTAGGGAAACGCACATGAAATATGTGAGCTCAGGAAACCTTCTTAACCGCATCAGAGAGGAGCAGGCCTCAGGCCTACCATAAGGAAGGGCGAAGTTTCAAAAGCAGCTTGCTGGCACCAGCAGGAAGCCTCTGCCCCTTGCCCAGCCTCGCACCGCCCTGCCAGGAAAGAGGCTGAACAGGGAACTGCTTCAAATATGYACAGGGAGCCGGGCAGCTCCGGGGCAGAGCTCTGCTGGGCCCACTGGCACGCTGCGGAGCCAGGCCGGCTGATGGCACCGCCTCCTACCAAGAACACAGCACTGTGACAAAAATGTAGCATCCCCACCAAGGTGATAAATCACAGAATGGTTGAGGTTGGGAGGGACCTCTAGAGATCATCTAGTCCAGCCCCCCTGGTCAAAAAGATGCATTCAGTTAACTACAGATGTAAGTATTTGCCTGCTGCTGTCCTCCAACAGAGGTTTGAATATTCAGCTGGAACCTGGAAAAGGGGGCTCTCTGCATGAAAACCAAATTCAGTTCTCTCTTGTAATTTAAAAAATTAAAAATTCCAAGGTCTGTTTTGCTCTACCTTTCTGGCTTATAACTCCCTAGGATTAAATTTTATTAGACTAAGGTTTTAGCCACAGTAAATTGAATTTCCAGTTTTTCATCAATTCATGCTCTCAAAAGCAAAGAGAGCTCTTCAGTACATGAGTGCATGAACTCTGTTCCTTCTGAAAAAGCTCTATTATGTTCTACACTTCAGTTATCAATAAAAATAAACATGAAAAATCAGTTATCTTTTAAGATGCTTAAACACAAGAGCTAAGATATCCTTTACAGTTCTCATTTTGACTGCTTGCTAACTGTATAAATTAAAAGCTTAAAATAGTTGTGACGGATTTTTTTTTTTTTTAACTCTATTATAATTTCTCAAAAGCACATTCTTAACCAGCAAGCTGCTGCAAGGAAATTCTCCCAGAGTAAGTCCTCAGTGGATACAGATCAGGAACAAGTATCCACTCCTTTTCTTCACATAAGGCAAATGTGGAGCAGAGGCTGCAGGTATAGAAAAGACCAGGCGATTTACGTTCACTTTCTACTCAATCCCCACTTGTGTGTGGTAAGGAAGATGTTGCCAGCAGCCAAAGACAACTCAGCAATCAACAGAGGGYGGGTGATGGAACAAGATGCTTCAATTACCTGCCCTCCCTGAGGTGCTGTGAGCCCTCAAGTGATCAGCCTGATGCTGTGGCCTCCCCCCTACCTCCCCACGGGTGGTGGTGGCCCATGAAGCTGAAGAGAGTCTCTTCCTTTCCCACCTCGTATTGGCAGGGCCACTTACAGCCTACACTGGGGAAGGAAGCAGGTTTTGGACCCATCCTTTTCCCTCTGGGGTTCCTGGGGTAGCGGCAGCGCCCCACCAGAGCACACAGCTTTTTGCAGCCTACTTGCGGAGCAGTGACTCGGTGTAAAGCACTAGCAGTGAATCAGAGCACTTCCAGCTAGGGCCAGCACTGGAGGGGGTGCAACTGAAGGCCACGGGGGAGAAAACACCCTTTATTCCTGCAGAAGGGATATGTGTTACATGTGTTCCCTGTAACACCTCAGCTTCCAGGACCAAACTCCAGAAAACTGTTTCTGCTTGTGAAAGTCTTAATGAATTGGCACTTACGGGCTATTTGCTTTGGCACTTGTGGGTTTTGCACACACCAGGCACCTGGCAAGCTTTGGAAACATCTGCCCTTTCTTTCCGAACAAAACATTTCTGGTAACCCTGACTGTGGGCACTGTGAGCTCGGCAGTACCCACAGAGGCTGATGCAATCTTCACGACTACCAGTCTACTTCCAGAGCACAAATGCACGGTACTGAGATGTGTGGATCACCACAGGCCGGATGAAGCCTATTTTGGGGCAAACCAAATGAAAACCTGTACAAGCAAAGCCACCCTCTTTGCTTAAATTAAATCCAACACCAAAACAATGGGCCCATCTCAAATCATTAAATCCAAGCTCTACAAACCTTCAAGGATAGGACTGAGCCCACCATGGTGGCTACTCAGCTTGCATAAAGCAATCCTAAAGCAACTCCCTAACTCCTGCACACATCAATGGAAAAAACAAAGTTTCTTTTACAGATCTCCTGAAGGTTTCCAGACAATCCTATTCTAGGCTTTAGTTCTTAAAATGGCTGCAGTGTAATTTACATTGTTTAAACTGTTGTCTTTAAATGAACAGTGTATTTGAAGAAAAACTGTAAGAACAGGAGGTTTGGAGTTGTTTTTAGGTTTGGAAGTCTGTATTTGTTTTCATGGGTGGATGTCAGTCACGACACAATCTGAATTTAACCAAAAAGCCCCCAAGGTAGAAACACTGCCCCCCACATCTTGCCCCTCCCTTTCCTTTCCCCAAGCGCAAGCCAAGCTGCAATGCGGTGTTCAGCCTCCCGCTTCACATCTATGAAATCAAACACACACAGTATGTGAGAAAGTTTTATCGTTTTAGAATCAAAATATCCCTTAAAATATTTACATTTTACAGTAAAAAGGATAGTAAAACACAAAGTAATGTACAAGCTCAGGTATTCAAGTTTTTGAAGCACGGAAAATGATGGGAGAAATGACTGACTACTACAAATCGTGTTTTGAAGAATTTAGTTTAAAAATGTTTTCTTATTAAAACAAGTGCAGTTTAAAGCAATAACATTCGAGCAGATTAGCCTTCCAATTTCTGGTCACAAACTGCTTCAGATGCTTAGGAAATATTTGAAAAATGAAATACATTTCAACTGTTTTATTGTACTGTTGAATAATTTAAAAAGAACTCTTCACACCACCGAGCATATCATATTTTGTTGTAATGTGTGTAGATTCTGAGGCTCTGCTGCAGTCTTTAAAAACAGTGCAATTTAAAAAGAAGGTTATTGTATGAAATTCACCTTTAAAATCATCAGCGCATCTTAAAACAGAAGAGAGCACAAATTACCAAAGGCAGCAACTATATTGCATACTTGACTAAAGCCAACCTCATCAGCTAAGAAAATTTCTAAGCCTTTATTGCATATTAATAAAGGAAATCTTTAAAATTTTGAATATACAGCAATGTAAAATTCTTTAAAATATTAAACTCCTACTTCTAGCAATAGTTGGTATAATGAAAAAAAGGATGAGTATTGGTACGGTGATTGGTACCAAAACACAGACTTGTTTCTGCAAAACACGAATACTGAATAAAAAAAGATGGCACAATCCTAGCAGGCTTTTTTTTCTTTATACAAAGTTTTACGACATCACTCTAAGTTTATTTAAATAGGATTCTGAAAGACTGCCTGCAGCTTTTTACCTCTTGTTTTTAGTTCTGTCACTGTGGTCCCTATGTCTATCTCTGCTCTTTTCACTTTCTCGTTCTCTATGTTTCTCTCGGCTCTTCTCCCTCTCTTTATCCTTTTCTTGAGCCTGCTCTTCAGTTTTAGGCTTTTCGGTCTTTTTTTCTGGGTTTCTAGTCTCTTTGGGGCTTTTTCCATCAGAAGCCCTGTCACTGTGTGGAGATCGCAATCTTTCCTTGTCTCTATGCCCTTCCTCTCTACTCTTTCTCTCTCGCTCTTTTTCCTGGTTTCTGTCTCGGCGCCTATTTCTTTCAGYATCTTGATCCCAGTATTTTTCGTTGTCCCACTCTTTATCATGTCTGTCTTTCTTTTGGTGATGGGAATCACTAAAGAACCTTTGCCTCTGTTGATCATTTTTTCCTCTATTGAAACCTCTGTCCGAAAGCTGTTCTTGCCTCCCCCAAGGGTCACTGTGACGTCTTTCTGGTCTCCTGCTGTCTTTACTCTGGAAAAAATTGTCTGGCCCCAAAAATCTTGACTGTTTGTGAGCCACTGGTAGCCCTTGTGCAATGGGTCCGGTATAGTGTGGTGGCTGACCCGATAGGTGAACTACAGGTGGCCAGGGCATCATAGGATTCTGAGGAAAGCCAAAGCCCGGAGGAGGAAGCAGCGGAGGTGGTAAATGAGAAGGAAATCCAAACATAGGGTTGTTTTGTGGAGGAAAGTTATGAGGTGTAGGACCCTGAAACTGAAATCCGGGTGGATTAGATTTAGGATGCTGAAAATTGTGCTGTGGAGGTCTAACAGATGAGAAGGTGCCACTTGTAATAGGGTTTGGGACCTTGGAAATAAATTCCGAACGAGAGGAATTTTCTGGTTCAGGCTGAGATGAAGTTGTTGCTGGTCCTCTTCTGAATGAGTTCACTGTTTCAATGTTTTGCATCAAGGCATCTTCCTGCAAGTTCTTGGTATCCTCTGCTTGTGAGGTGCAGACATTATCTGCTTTCGTTGCAGTTGAGCTACAATGCATCTCGCTTGCTTGTGCATCACCTTGACACACGTTTAAGCCCTTTTCTGCAGGAGCCTGCTTATTCTCCACTTCCATTTGATCATTTCCTGAAAGATTTTGTCGATCTTCGTTTCTGTTAACATCTCCTTCCTTGTTTTCTGAAGCATTAGTCTGTTGGCTTCGACCTGCTGCCTGCCGTGGGTCTCTCTTGATATTAATAAAGGGTGGAGACTTGGAGGTATTAGCAGCAGTACCTTCAGCAGAGCCTACATTAACACTGTTTTCATTGCCTTTTTTCCCTGCATTTGATGGAGAAGAAACACTAGAATTTGTGGTCGTCTTGACTTCCTGTGCCACATTCTCCTTGTCCTGTAATTGCAACTTTGGATCGTTTTCTTTACTTTCTTCGSTTTCTTTACTCTGTGACTGAGCAGATAAATTTGCTAAAAATGCTTCTGTGGAAACATCTGGAGGTTTTCCCTTCAGACTAAGGCCCATCAAAGTTCCAGTACTTTTTGCAGAACTTGAGGTCCCTACAGCTGCTGCATCTGCTGCTACAGCAGCACTAGGGGATTCCTGTTCACCTTCCAAGCTCGTATTTGTTTCACCRACTTCAGCAGCTGCATCAGCAACATCTATATCCATGTTTTCTTCTTTCAGGGTTTCTTGTTCATTTAATAATGGTATGTTTTCGCTGGGACTCACTTCCGTCTTATTCTGTTCATACACTGGCCCTGTCRTACCCAACAGGCTTTGAAGAATATCATCCACTGGCAGTGGTTTATTTGCTAGCTCCAGAGTAGAAGGTTGATTTTCCCATCCAACCAGGACTCCGGGAAGGAATCGGAGAGGCTTTGGTGGTTCATGTTTGCTACTCTCCACTAAGGGTTCAACAACTGCAGGGACATCGTCTGTATTAGACTGCTGAGATTTATTTCTCTGCTTGTGCAGCACAGTTGTGAAGGAATTAAAAAAATCATTTTCTTCTTCTTCTTCTAATGCCAATTCATTGTGAGAGACTTCAGGCTTGTTTGGCTTGCTCTTCTTCTCTGGTGGCAAGCTACTCAAGGGGCCTTCAGAACCTTCATCCACAAAGCTACTGCTAACACTTGTAACAGCAGTAATTTGTCTCTTCATTTTCTGGCGAATTATCAATCCTAGTAATAGATTTGGTCGATGTATTTCAATCCCTGCAAAAATCACAACAGAAATTAATCATTTTTGCTTATATTTTAACAAAAAAACCCAGAAATTAGCGCATATAATTTATGTAATATTTTGTAAATATATATATATATATTTTATTAACTCCAGCTTAGAAATCCGCATCAATAATTAGACCAAATCAGAGTGAGGTACTATACTACAGCAAGTACTATATAAGGATTCCAGAGGACAGTAAGCAACACAATAAAAGACAGCAAAAAGTTACAATACTTTTTATTACAAAACCTTTAAAACAAAAAAAAAAAAATCCAACATAAAAGTTACGACTTCAACAATTGCAAGTTGAAATTTGTTCATTACATATTTTGTTCTGAACAATCTAAAGATTCTTCGGGTGGGAAAACAAGAAATATGGCCCCTTCTTCTTCTTAATGCAGGGCAAAATTGTTTTCTCCATGTTCAAAAATGCTCTAAAAAAGCTCAATCTGACAAAGCAGAGTCAGACAAGTACTGGTGAGTCCTGGGCACTGCGGCACTTCAGCAGATGCTCTTCTAATGCACTGAGCATCGCAGGACTCAAAGAAATACAGACAACTATCACTGTTCCCCAAGAGAAGTTTCTCTTAACTGGATTATCTTAAAGAGAGTCTGTTGGGAATAAACTTTGCTGCACCATCCACAAAGAACCCACTTCCTATCTTTTTCTCATTTTATGTCTAACCATTTCCCTCTCACCTTTACCTATTTCCAATTCTCATTCAGTTCAATAGATAAATTCTCTCCACATCCCTTTGCTGTATGTTATCCTCTCTTAGTTTTATCTCTAACTATTCAAAAAAAATATTCCACAAATATTTACAATCAAAATAAACTGATGCAAAAGAAATTAGGTGTAAGCAGAACAACTGGGAGTCATTTCAGGATCATTTCTTCCTTGTCCATCTGTTTTTAAGTTTTCCTGCTTTTTTTGTTTTGTTTTTAAATTTGGAATTCAAGGAAAACAACAAGTTAGTGAAGAATCAGTATTTTTCAAATACGAAATATATAGTTTTTAATAATGAAATAAACAATTTAAAAAATAAACAGGAAATTCTGTATGATTGTGACCAGAGGTCATTTGCATCACTAGACTGAATTTTCTGAGATTGYAAAACCTGGATTGGGGGAAGAATATACAAAAAAAGTCGCTCTGTATTTTTTTCTACAATACTATTTAAAAACATATAGAAGTATTTCCAATTGTAAGATTATTTTGAAAGGAAACTATTATAACACTAATGACACGTTGGAATAGAATATCTTGGCATCTTTTCAAAAACCTTAACTGCAGTTCTAGAAATTATTTTTCTCTTAAATTTCTATAACATCCTTCTTTAGAGAGTGTTATGAAAATAAGTTTCAAATTCCAGGCTGAACCTACCAGGCCCATCAAAAGGCACGAGATGATGTGGAACTTTATCTGAAGAACCCAAGGGGATGAGATACATATCTTTCACTTGCTTCATGTTATTGGCAGCTACTCCGTAACGTTTTCTGCTGCTGAAGTAGGCAAACAGCAAAGCATAGGAAATCTGATCTTCTTCAGTGACAGGAGTAAAGCGAACTACACAGATTTCCTGTTTAGAAAAAGAGGAAAAAAAAAAGGAATAAATAATGGTTATGTATATTTTACTAACAAATTTCAATCATTTTTGTGACTTCTTTTAATTTAAAAGTACAATCCAAAGAAGAAGAATAGGAATCTCTATAAAAACTCRAAGAAGAGAGAAGGAAGATGATGACAAGAGGGCCAGAAAGAATCAGGAAAACAGAGAAAACGTGTGAAACTTTCACCATAAGACAAAGGTGTCATTACAATGACTGACTAAAAAAATTAATATTTTATATTAGCTTGCTAAGTGAATGCTTTGTATTAGCCTGCTAAATAAAAGTTTTTAGGGAAGAATGTAAACTTCCAAGCAATTATTCCCATCCTGCCATTAACAATATTAGAGAGTCTTATTTCGTATGGTCTATCATGTCCCAGATACTGATAAATACTAGGGAAGACCAGTATCCAAAGCCTAGAACTAGGAACATAAGCAAGGAAGCATAAAACTTCCAATTACTTCAAACAATAAAAGTTTTCTTCTGTATGCTGACATTAATGCAAATAAAACACATGTTTTAGACTCAAGTATCATACAGTATCATCACATCACATCAAGTAACATAAACATGTATTTCTGCTTTAAATTGGAGTTGTTTTCCATTTCAGAAATTTTAGAGAAATTTGCTTCATTGTAGGGAAATTTTGCACTTTCAAGGCCATTGAAATCTCCAGAACAATTTTCACCACCTAACTCTGGAGTGTGACTTGGGAAGCAAAGGATCTGCTGCACCAGGTTCTAGTATTTTTGCAGACAAGTGCCCCAGGGCAGGCGCCTGGAGACACCCCAGGCCGGGCAGTGCTGCAGTCCGTGAGGAACAGGCAGTGCAAGTCAGGCACTGGGGAAGCAAACTGCCATAGGCAGCAGCTTTGAATTCTGTGCAACTCAGAATTAACATAGGAAGCTGAAACACTTGCCTAAGCAGACAACTGAAAAAAGAAGAGATGTCAAGCTAAAGTAAAAACCATATTCAAATGCCAAATGGTCCCTCATAGATTTTAGACCTACATTATTCAAACCTGCACTGTACTTTAAGAGAAGGTAGAATTACAGCTCCAGAACACATCTCCTCAAGTTTCCCCATCCCAACATTCTTGTTAATTTAGCCACATCTCACAATACAGTCTCAACACAGCAAAGTTAACAGCACTTAAGACGGTCTTGCTCTGCAAGGACAGCAAAGAGCATGCTGTTCTTCAGCTGCATCTTTAAGGTAAATAGGAAGGATATTTAGTAGCAAGTCTTCTATATATAGAATTTCTTACCTTGGTCCCTGAAGCTTTAATTTTTTCCACATACTCCCAGACAGTATGAGGAGATATCCTGCCACCTACTTGAATACTATCCGGTAAATCCTATGAGAAAGAACAATAAAAATCTGAACCCAATATATCTAATTTTATATATTAAAAATACATTTAACTCAAAGTTCTAGAATTGTAACATTTTAATATAGTAAGTGTAGAATTTACAGCAATAGTTAGAGGCAAATTAATTCACATTACATTTTGGATGCTTAAATTAGGATTTTCAGTGGGAATTTAACAGTTTGTAATAAACTGGTTCTCTCTCGATACTATTCCCTCTAACCTTCTCTGATATTATTTGAGCAATATTAATTGCAAATACAATTTTCCCCTGTTCTGCAACTGCTTTAAGTGTGTAAAATTTAACTGCTTTGAAAAAGCTAAGTACATCGAGGAATACAACAAACTATTCCTATTGTAAAAGACAAAATCTGCACTGTCAACAGAAATCACCAGCGTGGACACTTTTTTCCTGGAATGGGGGGTAAAGGGGAAATCAAACAAAAACCAACCAAAAACCCCACAGCCCCTAGCTCTTTTAATGCTTTGAGTTCAAAACAGCAACCATTTTCTCACCTCTAACTGAAGAAATGGAGGCCACAAAGATGGTTATTTTGATGACAGATGCTGTCCTACCTTTCCATTTTACCCTGATACTACTGAAAATGWTCCATAATGAACTAAACACAGTCAAACATTCATAAAAGCAGCTCTGGAAATACTGCTGCTCATCTGCATAGAACACAAATCATCCTGACAGACATCAGAGTATTTAAAACCTTTAGAGGTCCATTTATATCCTGAAATATACTTCGCTACCAAATACATAAGCCCTACCCAACCTATTTCAGCCTACAAGTACTTTGCCCAGTATCATGATTGTGCATCACTGCTTTTCATCATTACACTATTAGTAGCTTATAAGATAAACAAATTAGTGACTCAAGTTAATAAATAAACTGTTCATTCCTTAACAATAAGTACAAATACCTCTGTTAAATACTCAAAAGAGCCAGAGACTGGATAGGCCTTAATAACAAACTTGGCCACAGACGGCATATTGATAAAACCCTTCCAGATGAAATTCAGGCGTGCCAGAAACAGGGTTTCGCTTTCCACAGTGCCAGGTGTTTCTGACCTAAAAACAAAGACAAAAAACTTTGTCAAAAACACAGTATACAACAGAGCATCACGTAAGCAGTCATCTCAAGTAAAATTACAAAAAAATGAAGATTTGTCTTTTTCACTTGAACAGACTTATGGTTCAAGCACAGAGAAGGGTCAGACAGACATCTGTATTTGTCATCTTCCAGTAAAACAGATGCATTAGTGAACTGATATTCTGTGTGTATCCTTTGAGCATGAAGGACCCATGTAGTCTAAGAGCTACTAAATGCTATTAAAAGGAAACAAATGCTAATGGCACTGCAGACCAAATAAGGATATGTATTACATTACACATTGTTCTGGCCCATTCTTTAAATATCATTTGTGTCAGGAACCACTGTGAGCAGTGGCCTGTTGCACCCACAATGCAGATGCACAGTAAGCAACACGTAATGAGTATTTGCTTGCCCTGAATTGACACATAAGCACATTAACGCAGCAACTGAACACAAGCACTTTTTTTTAACATTGTAACACTTCCAAAAGCATAACCCAGCCACAATGCATAAACGTTTCGCAAGCATAAGCATATAAGGTGCAATCACAAATAGAGATTTCTGGTTTAGTTTCATAAATGGGGTACAGGAAACTACATGAACAGCAGCAAAATTTGCAAGATAATGACAAAGGATGTAACCAGGCGCCAGACCGGCCTGGTAGAACCAGAATTGTCCTCCAGAATTAACAGGAAAGGTGCTTTGTGAAACAAGAACAATGACAAAAATCTCATAAACTGCACTGGGAACAGAAAACGATTCTCCCTCATGTCCCCCACTCCCCTTTTGCTTCTGGAGAGGGCATAGCAAGCCTCAAACATCAGCGATCAGCACAGAAAAAGAGGGAAGCACAGCCCCTGTCTCAGTTCTAACTCCTYGTAAGAAAAGATTTCCAGTGCAGCCACCCTGATCTCCTTGATACTGACTGGTAGTCAATTAGTGCTAATTGCAAGGCATCAGCTCCACTCTTAGGAAGTAACTGTAACAAGATATACGGGCATGGACTGATAAAGAGTAAGAATACATCACAGAGAATTGTTTTGAGATTTGAAATCAGCCTGATTTGAAACTAACTAGTCTTTCATATGTTTGGATTTCAGCAATCTGTAATTCACTGGCTTGACGTGTGTATATATATCTCTATATATAGAGAGATATAAAAACACACACATATATCTCCACTCATTCAATTGCAACACTGTACCTACCTTGCTCCTTAGCAGCGTAACACAAGAAGAAATCTTAATTCTGATCTACTTCATATGAACCCACATGTTGTTTTTATAGGCACTTCTGCACCAGCAGATGCAGAGCAGCTTATTTCCCTCAAAAGACAATGTGAGAATTGCAGGTCTATATTCATAATAATACAAATTGTATTATTTATAGAAATGCATAGCACGATTTACTGCAGCAAATAACATCACTCCTCAGAAGACTTGTGTAACGTCAAGCATACAAGTGGATTGTGAAATATCATAAAAAAAAACCAATTAGGGGTTTAAGAGCTTAATGACAGGAATAACGCCTTTCATTTATAAATGTCTCAACAGTTTTATATTACCGTGGGAGAGATGCGAATGGTGATTTTGTTAAGTCTTGTTTATCTTCTTCCAATAATTCTGAAGCTAAAATACTGGATGTTGAAGACAGTGCATCTGCAATGCTCTCCGCTTCATTGTCCGACTGCTTCCGCGCAACCCCAACGGACACTTTCACTTTTTTTGCAGAAATGTCATCAGTAGGTGGTGCCATTCGGCCTAGAGAACAGGAATTGGAATGATTTTTACTTTTAAAATACAAAAAAAAAAGTTGTTTTTCTCTGAAAATATGGAATGAGTACTGAAAAATGCAGTACTACCACTGCAGTTGGACAGCATAAAGAAATGAGGAAGCAAATACAGCAGGCACACCCACTTGGAAGATTTCTTTCTCATCTGCAGTTCACTTTTTATAGAAGCCATCTTTATGCCAATAGCCTATCATTTTAAAACTGCAATCAATAAAGTAAAATATTGCTTCCTGTAAACTGCGGATAAAAACATTTATTTACATTCTTGAAGTATACTGAGCTGTAAGACCCAAAACCCCTATGCRAGTGTGATCTATTTATTTTCAATGTGTTTTTCACAATTACCTATGCAGATTTTGCAGTTAAGATCAAACAGGTGATTTTTGTGTTGACTTGTGGTGTCTGGAGACGAAGACTCATTTCCTTCTTTATCTTTTTCAGCTTCCTCTGTCTTCTCAAACAACTTAAGCACATTAGGTTCCTAAGGAAAGYCAAACATTAATTTTTTCCCTTTGTTCATGTTATTAATATTACTGTTTATATTTCCCTCCAATATTTTCTTTCCTTCAAACATAAAATTCTCCTTTCAGATCCACTTTTTCTTTTTCTGAAAGGATATCACAAGCTACAAATGATTAAAAAAAAAAAGATACTCCTAAATCTCTTTTAGCTAGGATTTAGAGTATTTTCTACTGTAGTGATGGAATTTAGACCATTACAAACACAAGAAAAAAACAAACAAAAAACTTCTAAATCCTTAAGTGAAAATCAGCAAGGATAAAAGAAAATTTAAACGCAAAACATAATGAAAATTTTAGATACAGATTTAAGAACAGAATTACAAACAGATGAATTTGCAACTATGTATATATATAGTTGCAATTATACTATATAGTTGCAAATTATATTCCTTTTTACCTGAATTTCCATAGCTTCTTGTTCTTTTATTGGTGTTTCACTCTCAATCTCTATTTCCCCTTTGTGAGTAATTTTTGTGATAGGTCTTCTTTCAACTTCCCTCTGTTCTTTCTCAATCATTTCAATTGTCTGTAAAAAGAGCAGGTTATGTATTTTTATTTTGAGATAAAAGAATTTGAAAATTTAAAAATATAACAAAAAAAGCATTTCAGAAATAGTGGCGGGGGAAAAAAGTATATTCATATTTTGCATATTTTACAATACATAAATCCATCATTTTAAGCTTCCCCTAGAAGAGAGCTAATATTTATCAAGTATTTAAACAAAGTATAAAGCACACTTCAACCTCTGTATCAACACCTTCCCTTTGTTTCTTGAATACTAAACAGAACAAAGGAGTTCCCCTGACTTAACAAGAGTTGCTTAGTGCAACACACATTCTGGCCTTTCTAAACACACATGGCCTGAAAAGAAAAAAATAAATATACTTAAGTGGACAATAAAATAGAAGTTGACAAATCTCACGTGTCTGTTTTCTCTTTGTCTCCATGCGGCCAGTTCTTTGGAAGCCAGTTCTTCTGGGCTCATTTTTATTAGATGGTCTGGAGTAACCTCTCCTTTAAGTACTTTTTTAAATAATATCTACAAGAAAAAAAAGAAGTTAACTACTGCTATCAAAACAAATCAGGACCCTAGTAAACTGAGCTTACATCTACCGCAGTCAAAATGATTAGAACAACTGATAACCAAAGGCAAGAGGTTGATGAGTTGACTGTGATGTTGAAAAGCAGGCTTCTGACACTCACAAAAGTGATGTAGACAGTGATGATTTTTCCTTGGCAAAGACCATAATTCAGAAATTTGGGTATAAATAAGTGCTGTGAAAAGCCTCTACATTAAAACAAAATAGGCACAGAGAGTACTATTATGGCAAAAAAAGAAAAACACTTAGAACAAGCTCTATCCACTTTACTTTGAAAACCTATAATAAAGTAGTGCAGGGCAAGGAGCTGCAGAACAGGTGACAGATAAAGATGGAGAGATGAAGTCACACGAGCACATTGAGTGCACAGGAAAAGAATAAAAAATCTGAAGTCAGAGGAAACATTCAGAAAAAAAAGTAAGAGAACAAACTGTGAAAGGTTTAATAATGTATCTGTACAGAAGGCCTCCTTTACCCTATTGCAAAAGTATTTTTTGTGAAGTCTTATACACAAATAATACATACATTATTTTTGGGATCTTTTAGGTTGAACATTAAGCTTCTGTATTTGTTCTTATACTTTGAGTCAGTGTCCCGAAAAAAAGAAAACAGTTCTTTTTCTATCCTTGTGGCAACTTTTGCTGCTCTCTCCTCAGGAATCTTTAAACTGGAGTCTGTCAATCTGTGAGAGAACACAAGGGAAAGTGGAAAAAAACCCAARACTTCCAAACCAATAACCAAATATAACTTCCAATAACCAAAAATAACTTCCAAAACATTTTCTTCTCCATCTCCTTAAAAGAAAACAAACATAAATTCATAAATAACATATAAGTATACACATATATATACATTTGTGTGTAAAAACAAAATTAAAATACCTAAGAGTATGTATACATATATATATATATATATACACAAACACATACCCCCTACCTTTTCATGAGTATTTCTTTAAGAGACTGTTTAACACTTTGTCTTATCTGATCAGCAGAAGGTTTCGATGCTGACACAGCTGGCAAATGTGTTGTACTACTTGCTCCTCCTCTCTCAATTTTCTTTTTCTTAATTTCTTGTTTCTCATGAACACCTATCAAAACACAAACAGTTAAAAATCTTAAACTGCTCAGCCACTGCTGCAAACATTTATTGTTATGGGATATCCCAAAGTTTTAAGCTGCTAAGGGCTTCAAGAACAAGGAACTGCCTCAGTGAGGAGCTGGCCTTGGTTGGTTTGATTTTTTTATGATATTTGTATTTTTGTTTTGTTTTTGTAGAATGAAGATTAAAAAAAAAAAAAAAAAAAAAAAAAAAAAAGGTTTTTGCAAAGCTGCTTTAGTTTATCATGTTTTCTTCAATACCAAGCCAGGAAAAACACTGACCAATAGCTGAATTTCTGTGAAAGTACAGATGCATTTTTCACTGAAGCAAATTGGAAAATAATATATCAGAAAACATTTACTATAATAAGATTAAAACTTCAAGTACAGTTTTTCATTAAAATTAGATTTTTGAACCTAGTAGCCATCAAAATTATTTCAATTCTAATAATCTCAGCTACTCATCTACGAAACACTCTTGCACAAAGCCACTATAAATAATTGCAAATTCTAAACAAATCATAGTAATTAAAAAAAAAAATACTTCAGTTTCAATGTCTCAGTCCATGAATATACCACTCTAATTTACAGCAACACTTTCCATTTAAGAATCAAAAGAAGCAATATTAACCTTGATTTTCTAGTCATAAAAGAATAAAACAGATTTTGAACTCTGATAAACATGTAATGAGCATGTTGGACGGCAAGAGGAAATTCTTCTTTGCTGTTACTTCTGCCTACAGAGTGCAACTTAAAATGCATCGATACCAGACCCATTCTAACCACATTTTCAAGTAGCTAAGACAACAACCTTATTTTCCACTTAGCAGACTATATGCTTGGATCATGAACGCTGTGGTTAATGGGACTATTTTTCCATGCCTCACCAGAAAGGCAGTGCAAACCTGATAACATCCTTTGCCGTTATTCCACTCTGTGACCTAACACACAAAAATATCAGGCTTGCTCAAAAAGTAGCTCTAATAAGGCTTTTATTTGGTCAGTGTGTTTTTTGCTCATCTCCTGCTCAGAGGTGGATGAGGAACCGTAATAAAGTGGTTTCAAGAGGGCTCCCCAGGGGAAGCAGGAAGCCTCCCCATGACAACGACACTCGGGCAAAGTTTCAGTCAACAGAGTCTCACAACAGGGAAGTGATGGGTAACGTTACCAATAAACACCACCACTGTCAACATCAGCAAAAAAAAAAAAAAAAAAAAAAAAAAAAAGAAAAGGATTTAGATAACTTTTCTGTTTAACAACTTTATGCCAATTGTCATAATGAGACCGCCAAGCTTCCATTTAAAAGTAATTTTTAATGTTGTATTTGTTGTGAATTCATTAAAATTTTTTTCTCCATGTTGTAATCCACTTAATATATTTTAGAACAGTTTAAATACTTCACAGATGCCAGAGACTTCTTTAGAAAGGATGTCAATTATTTTGTGATTCCGAGAAGATGAACACATGAGATGTCTGAAGCCTGAAGGATACTATTCAGTATAAATCCTTACGTTTAGATTCACAATTAACTCAGCAGACCTCCCTTAGGAATAGAATTTAGACGAGAATTCAGAGCTTGAGTTTAGGATTTTAAGATGAAGTTCTCTGACACAAAAACTCACTAGTCATGCTCTTGAGATTCTGAGATTTCTGTGTCAAATGATGAAAATTATCTTTTTCTCATAAGAATAAATAAGAATACTTCTCGGAAGGGTGAGTTTTTGTTTCATGGTTTGTTTTGGTTTTTTTTTGGGGGGGGAGCAGGAAGCAATAAGAGAGGTAAGTTATTTTCAAAGTAAAGTATGTTTCTTCAGCTTTTCAAATAAAGTTTAAAATGAAAATTTGATGTTTCAGCGTGCAATAGTGTTACCTTTCAAAATGAATTCTGAGGTAATTTACTGATTTCTTTTGGCCAAATTGTTAAGTCAAATAATAATATTTATACAGCAATTAAAAAACTGAGTACACTGAAAACAAGACGTACATGGAGTACGTGTGGTGTTTTATGGAAAAGTATCTCATTATCATAGTATGAAATAAAGTTTAAGAGATGCTTTTGTGACACTTTTCTCCCATTACTGATTGCATGAGCATTTTATCCTAGTCAAATTGAAAACATCTATACAGGAAACATTTCCCTGATAAATAAAAGAAGATATGAGAAACAAAGATCCTAAACATCATGAAAACAAACAGTTCTCTGGATCACCATCACTTGCACTATAAAATGTGTTTTGTAAAAAAAATAATATTATAAAGGAAGTCCTTATGCTTCATTGTACATGCACATTAACAAGCATATAGCCCTTATCCAAACCTCGTTACCTGACTTTGCAGACTTTTCAACCGCGCTCGGAGACTCTTTTCTTTCATTTTTATCCTCAGAGGACCTCCGAGGAGGTATAGCAGCCTGGGATGCTTTCCGAGTAGGAACATGTTGCCCTTTTTTAGCATCTAAGTCTCTGCATTCTGACACGTTCTTCCCCTCCCCAGATTCCTGAAATAAACATTTACATGTCAACATGTTAATGCTAATTGTACGAATGTTACAATGAACTACTATGTACTCATTACACATTTTTCCCAAATATTATATATTTAAAGTTATATACCGTTAATACTAATTAAATCTTGGATGTACACAATATTAAATTATACTTTTAAAAATGTTATTAAWCAATATTTCAAGTTATCAGCAAGTATTATTTTCCAATCTCTTCAAAAATCTGGTCCAATACATATCACAGACAAATTGCAGTTAAGCTCCACCTGGAAAATGACTGCCTGCTTAAGAACTATATAGAAAGCTCAGGAATACCAGTGAACATCCCTAACCCAACTTTAGTTAAATCTGCAGAGCAAGACATGTAACTAGAAAATATAGATATTTGGTCAAAATTTTACCTAACAATTTATATATCAGAATTATAACACTACTCTCCAGAAAGGTAAGGCAAAAAGGATGACTAATAATTAAATCACAATGAATATGATACAATATACTATGATACTATATATTGCTGAAGTATAGTAGAAACTGAGCCTTGTGCACACTGTTAATTGGAACAGTGGCTGTTTACTGGTAACGTTTGATATAAGAAACTCCAAACAGGAACTAAGATGTAAATTTAACAAACAGGATTTGCAAACTGGAGTGCAAGTCTCATATATTAATATTTTAATGTTTTCCTTCTCTGGACAAATTAAGTTACGAGCTGTTTCTGAATGGGGTATTTTGCTTAACTTTCTTTTAAATATATACGTATCTAAAAATCACACAACGTGTATTTGTGTATGTCTCGTGTAATACGATGCATATATATATATATCTATGTAGCAAATAAATATGTATCACAGAAGACATACTTCCGTTGAAAGTAATAGAACGGCATTTAGCAGTAACACATTTCTCAAGAATCAGTTTAACACACACACTCTCAAAATAAAAATCAAATTTTAGATTAGATTCACATCTTCTGAATTACAAACACAAGAGAAAAACATTTGAAACACTATTAAGCAACAGTATTTCAAATTATAAAAAGTTAGGGGAAACATCTCCACCCAAAGCCCAATGACTAAAAGAACTTGAAACATTAACTTACCCTTCTAAAAATTTTGACTTTGTGCTTCCCTGTGTCCTCTGCTTGCCTCAGTTTCTCAGTCATGCTTGCATTACAAGTAGGTGTTTGCTTTGACATCCCGGGTTTTTCACTTTCCAGTGCTCTTTCTTCTTTATAGCTTTCATGTTTCCCTTGAGGATCCAGTAGACTTTGATCCAAAGACTCTGCTTTTCTGTCTTCTTCAGCACAGCATTTCACACACACGTATTCTTTATCTTCTTCACCCATCTGYTGCGCTTGAGAAAGACTCAGTCCAACACAGTCACCATGAAACCAATCATCGCATCTTCCACAGCCAACCATGAACCTGCAAAGACATAAATCAGTGTATAGACTAAAAAATAACACACACCAACTTAAAGAGAATACAGCATACTTATTTTTCATTGTCTATCACAACATCTTTTTCTTACCTGATAGTTGATTTTCTTTCTTTGTAGCTTTACATCCATCTCCAGCCTTACGACATGGTATGATCTTCCCGAGAAATAGCTTTTGTGCCACAATAGTCCAAGAGATTATCATAACCTCATGGTGAATTTACAATCTCTACCAACAGGGTGATTGTTTTTTAAGAGTAAAATTAAAGAAAAAMATCAAGATGCAAAAAAGGAATGTTCTCAAAATTGGTAAACATAAGTTTCAAAAGGAAATTTCATTGCAAGAGCATTATCCTTATCTTCCTTCAAATAACATCACCATCCTTATAGGAAAAATGCGACAACTGATACCRTATAATCCTCCACATGCTTAAGTACTTTGGGAACTATTATAAGCACAGAACCCTAAAATTATGAGTGAGAATGAGTAAGAATTTACATCATATTCTTTAGACACTACTGGATTATTTACAGAAAAATAGTTGTATTTTATTCTATCTAATAGTAAATTAGGGGCCAAGAGTAGCTTCAGCTACAGTTCAAATAGATAACTTTAGCTACTGGGGTTTTTTTAGGTAATTTTTTAAATTTATTTTTAGTTAAGGTACAGGCCACTTCTGCCTTTGGTGTTTGGTGCTTGAGTTGTCTAAGCAATTGAAATGAACATTGTTTGCAGCATATGCCCTCATCTCAGAGTTAGTTCTGTTGCATTATTTTGATAATGAGACTTAAGATATAGTATTTCCAATAATGGAAATATTACTTGGTCTAAAATAAAACTTAGTACCTAATTACAACATTAGGTACAATTTCTCATGAAATTGTGATACTCTTTCAGAAGAATGGAAAATTTCAAAACTAGACGGATTAAATACCTCAACAAATCTATTTTTAGAGATTGCTGATAGTAATTAATTTTACAACTCTTTCTTCTAATTATGAACCTAATTATGGCGTAACTACTTAAGATCTGTTTTCCAATGAAGCTGCAACTGCTCCTGCACTATCCACTTAYATTTTCCTATCATTTTAATATGTAAATGTTTATATTTATTATATTTTTATATCTAGTGGGGAATATCCCAAATGAAAGCAGAAATGCTCTGAAAAGTCTGATTTGTTTGCTAATGCAGAAAAGTTATTCACTGAATTATTGATGGTTAAATTCCATAGAAGACAGCACTAATTTAAAAGTAATTCAGTGAAATGCATGTCACCGACTCATAAACTCCATTCTTTGACTGCAATATCCAATCCCTTTTTTAAAGAAGATTCTAAGGAAAAAGATTCCTAACTTATCTACCTATGCTCTTACAAAGTTTAGGATCTGTTGAATTACCTGCTTTACAAAACCATATCAATACTACAAAATGTGTTTAAAGGGATTCTTCTTCTTCACCACAGAACTGTAGATGCAAACACTCCAGACTGTTCTGTGACTATAACCATATTCAAGAAGCTACAGGTACCTCAAAACACCACTGTCCTATCCTCTAACTGTATAACTTTGATATCCAAGAGAAGAAGAAAATACAGTAGTCTTATGTTCTGGCCTTTCTAACTCCAAACAAATCAAGACTAAATTCTATTTAAATAAGTAGACACTCTTGATGCAAATGAATCTGAGAAATGCTGAAGTCTCAAAAATTTCAGGAAAAAGYATGTAGCTTCCCTGACCTATTTTACTACATCGTTGTTCACTAGATTTGATGAAGTCAGTCTTAAAACCAGGTTATGAAAAAAAAAATCTAATTGTTCTTTTAACTGAGCTAATAGTAATTCTTTATTATTATTCCTTACTAAAAAATAATCCAGATCTATTTACTAGTTTAAGCCACAAYGGCACAGATCACTTCTCTTTCAGAAACACCTAAGTCCTTCCAGATCTATGTTCCAATAATTTGAAGAGATACAAGAAAGCTGGTCACACTACATGATAATCCCTTCCGGAGCTTTTAGCACAGTATCATAATATTCATAAACACAGCAGGCAGAGAAGACAAAAGTGATGGGAAAATTGCTCCTTTCTAAGAGCCCATAGTCAAACACTAGTTTGCAGGAAATACAGTATGAGGGCCTATTTCACAATTACAGTGGTCAACAGATGGATCCCCTACCTAAGACATGTTCTGCACACTGCAATATTGGTAAAGCTTTGAGGATATAAAAATGATTTTTTTTAAAAAAAAGGAAGTTCCAAACATGAAGTTTTCCACAGAACTAAAATAAAATTAAGAGAGAAAAAAAGTGCTTCTAGACACTTTAAAAGATATTTTGGTGTACAAATTAATAACATCTGTTGGCTATAATTTGAACAAAATTAAAAATACACTGCCTTGAAGCCASAAATACTACTTGAATTTTATTAAAAACATATATATAAAATTTATCTTCAATTTTMAAAATTCATGCATTCCTTAAATCAGTAAGGTAGACTGCAAACTTGAAGAACCAAAACTGAGAGATTTTGATTAACTTTTTTTTTTCTCCTTTAAAGGTAGAGAGAACTTACATATCTTCAAGTTGACAGTGTAAGGAACTCTTCAGCTAAGATCAGGAACAGCAAAAGCAGGCAATATAGAGGGTGAGTGATACCACTAGTGCTGCAGACAACCATCTACTTTGAGTCTATATTCAGACCAACGAATAATAGCAGCAGCTGGGGTTTGTTCCACCCCTTACAACAAAGGCTTTTTCTAATTTGGATGGTCTAAAATGTATAGTAGCAGGCTGTATGTCATTTGGTTTTTTTTAATGTGAAAGTTTAAAGTTTCAGGTTTTCTTTCTTGGTTGTTTAAACTTGTTCGCAAACATAATTCAAGGCAATGAAGTGGAATGGAAGAAGTGGTTTTCCAAAAATAAAGTGATTAGTAGCTGATTAGAGCCCAGCTTCATATGTGTGCTTTCAGTGACTTTTTTCTATTTTTTTTCTATATTTCATACAGATTTCTTCACTAAACAAGAACACCACGATGAAGAGCTGTCACTCAAACCATCTTATGCAAACTACTGAAGATGGAATATCCATTTGACTTCATTCCAGTCTTTTTAAGAAGGTTTACGCCATACTTAACCCATACTTAACCATACACAGTACGCCATACTTAACCATGCACAGTAAATCCTTGGATTCAGAAACTGAGACTACAGATTCTGGAAACATCCACTAAGCTTGTACTATAACCACAATTCAAGTATTTACAGTACTCTTGCTTAAACCTAGTTACACAAAATGACAAAAACATTGGTGCTTACTCCCTAAAACTTTCGCTATTTYTACTAGAATTACTTCACACTAGTAGAGTGCAACTTCCAAGGCTCTGAGGGAAGATACTGATTTTGATACTAATAACATGAATAATCCTTTTTACCATAAGGCCATTTGTACATATTTTTCTTTTCCACTATTCTAGACACAAACTGTAATTGTGATTCATAGCATTAGTTATATTTGGATAAAGAGACAACAGCAGGGCAATGCTCAGAGACTAAGAAGGGGAGTCAAGGAAGACTGAAGCCTGGCTTGAAGGATCAAGGATGTCTTCTTGCACTGCTGTCAGTTGTGACTGAAGAGGTTCTGATATCTTGGACTATTTAAACACCAAATTTTCTGACTGTAGACTGCTTCAAGTTTGGAGTGCAGAAGTTTTAACCATGTTGTAAGGCTGGATTGGAAGATGTAAAGCTGAAAGAGAAAGAAAAAACATGTTTTACAATAATAATTCACGCCTTAATAAAAGATCAAATTGCTTTTACAAGTTTTAATAATAAAAACAGTACTACGTTTGAGAACAATCTCAAAAGAGCTGGTAGGTGAGAGCAGCCAGTATTATTGCTCTTCAGGACATGGAGAAAATCACTGTCACTTGCCTTTTAAAGAATTCTTGGCAGTTCTCACACATCAGCATGAAGAGATCACTCATAAAATTGCATTGGCATTACACATAAGATAACAGATTAATTAATACAAACCTTCCACGCTCTCTTTTAAAATWAGCACATTTTCTTTAGTATATTATTTGTGGCAAACTAAAATTCATCTGTGAGATAGAAAATTCAGGCAGGCTTAAAATATTTATTTTCAAGATATACAGGCTATTTTTAAAAATTAATTTGCATACATTCAATTTATTCAATTTATAGAACAAAAACAAATACTGAAAAAGATTTTACACATGATATAGGCAGAAGCTGGTTTACTCAAAAAAATGTTTGCCGTAAAATTATGTTTAAGACTAAAACAAAAGAAAAAAAGCAGCTGTCAGAGTGTCACTCAGTCTGGGCTGCCAATCAGCATTTTAAGATTTATTCATAAATGTAACAAGCACATTGCCATAGATAACCATTTATTTCAGAATATTTTCCTCACTTTAGCCCACAGCATTTGCTTTAAATAACACAGGGAAAATACTAAAACAGGACTAGTAACTTGAATTAGAAAAAAAAAAAAAAGGGTTTTACTTTTTGAATCTTTCTTTCCTCAACTTTTCACTATTTGAAAGGAGACCCTAATCCTGATGATCACCTAACAGGAACTGAACCACTGTTTATACATTTTAAAAAGTTACTGGATTTAAATAACTGAAGTATCTCCCATTTCTGCATGATGCAAAAATACTTAAGCACTTTTTCTCCTTAATGGTGTTGTTCACTTATCTTCTAAAACTTTTTATAAATTCATATCAATACTGTGTCTCAGCGATGCTGCCGCTCTACTCCACGCAACATAAAGCGCAAACGCTGCAAGGAGACACAAGTTCCTCCTTTCAGGTATTGAAGATGTCACAAGCAGAAGGAACAACGAAGGTCAGACTGCATCTTTAGCAACCCACTATTCCCACAGAGCCCAAGGGAGGTCTCCTCAGCAAGAGCCCACATTCCCTGACAGTGGAGACTTCACTCAAAGCCCAGGGAAATCAGCKGCCGCCAAAACCACTTTGCACCTCCTTGTTGTCAGAGTACCCACATCAGCAGTTCTGCCTTACTTTTAGTGCAAGTCCAACACAACTGACTAATAACTAGCTTTTCTCAGTAACAACTGACTAATAAATAAATCATAACTCTTCATATGGAACATGCAGCACAGCAAAAATGGCAAAATCCTGTTTTTCAAGTATTTTAAGGGCATASTTTTCCTTGTTACAAGAATTTCTGCAAAAAGGAAGTAGGGACACAGACGAGCCAATCCTTCCTACAGGATCAGAACGAGAGTTTCCAAATATAACTGCACGCACATAAAAATTTTATAAATCTACGTATTTAGATAACTTGGGCTATCCTATATCCTTCATTTTCGATGGATAATATAATCCTCCTAAGAAACAGTAACAAAATGGTACAGCTAATAAATAYAAAGAATGTCGGAGTTCTTCCATTCACAGAATCACAGAATATTCAAGGTCGGAAGGGATCTCTAGAGATCATCTAGTCCAACTCCCCTGCTCTAGCAGGGACACCTAGAGCGTGTGGCACAAGTGGCATCCAGGTGGGTTTGAAGACCTCCAGAGAGGGAGACTCCACATTCTTCAATCATATTTTATAATGCTGTTTTATTTATCCCATTACATAGTATTTCTCCAGCTCATTTTTCCTACAGCTGCACAAGGATGATAGTTTTAAATGTTAAAAGCCTTTCTAGAATAAAAGAAAAGAGTAACAGAGGCAGAAAATCTAGAAATACCACCTATGGCTACAAATGGATGATATCTTATATAATCTATGTGCTTAATATACTGACAGTATTCAACAAACATACCAGAACTAGGGCATGATAATTATTTTAATTAATGTTTTTTATAAAGGATGTTGTCACATCAATGATTCATTTGCTATTTATGCATCCACACTTAAAAACATAAGTACACAACTTTCGAGCAGCTTTCGAGTTCAAAGTCTTAACTTATTTCTTCATCTTTTCTGTTTATATTGACTGAAGACAGTATACGATCACCTTTGTATCACTTGACTTCGTTGAAGTACTAGAATTACTTTCAGAAAACAAATGTCCTATTAAAAGTTTACAAAAGCAGAAAATATTTTGTGATTTTTTTACCTAAGTCCATAGAACTAAACTATAAAGTAATCTTCCATGCCACAGCTGTCCAGAGCTGTTCAGTGGATACCTGTATGCAACAGATGAATGCTTTACCTTAGCTAAGTTAACTTCTATGCCTCCTAAATGCTCTTTATTACGTTACCTACTTTTCCCTCTTAAGAGCAGAATTGAAATGCAGGACAAAAGAAAATTCTAAGCAAAACTCTGATTCTGCAACACTTCTTTTTCTGTGTGCGCTGATATATGGCAGTCTAACCATACAAAAAGCAAGATCGAATCCCAAGCAAAGTAGTATCTTCTAGTACCTTCTACTCTGCAACATCTTGGTTAGGTTCTGTCTGTTTCTTTGAGCAACAAAAGAGTTCAGCCCTTTGGGCTGCAGAAAACTTGAAAATCCACAAAGAAAGTGGGAAAAATTTATAGCACAAGCTCTTGTATCAGAAGGATGAATAGCATACATACAAGAAAAAAATTTTGTAAAAATTTTCTCTCCATCTGCTGAGTTGCAATCTTTATCTACCTCTGTGCCAAGAAATCAAAAATTTTTATTCTTCAGTTAGTTTAGATCTTCAATCTGTTTGCAGAATTGCCTATTGTGCATATTGTGTTTATTTACTAAATACTATTTTCAATATCACTAAATTCATTTTGAATTTGAGGAAAAATCCTCAGTCTATAACATTTTCATACATTAGATGCATACACAAACACATTTTTCACTAGTGCATAAATATAGACGGAAGTTTGCACATATGATCTATTTTGTTATTAATCGACAAAAGATAAAGTCTTCCASCAACATGGCACTAGAAACAGCAAAATCAAGTTGAAGGAAGCAGTGCAGTGAACACAGTAACTCAAACTTTTTATATGAGCAAAGATAACAGTATTCCATACATGCTGAAAAAAAGCCAAGTATAGAAGGATACAATTACCCAAATTCCTCAGAAATATCAGTTTTTGTTTTCATATAAAAGAACACTGAGGTATTGGTTACATTACAAAGGTATTATTCTGAAGGGGAATCACAGAACACACCAAGCAAACAGCCAGAGACAGTCTGTACCAGAGCCAAACACTGGCTTTGGGCTGGCTTAAGTTGTGTCATTTTTTCAATGACAGGATAATTCTGAGGTTAAATAATATAAGTCAATACACAACCATTTTCTGTTTCTAGCAGACACAGCAAGATTACTCTGGGGCTATGAGGGAGCTATGTAAGCATCCGTTATGGGGACAATATGCATAAATGTGGCTGACAAAAGCACCTCTACCAGCTATCTCTGACTTAAATCAAATTTTCAAGCTTTGTATTACATTAACAACAAGTCAGCAGCTTTGTATGCACTGCAGGAAATATAAAAAGCTTCATGTGAATTACTTTTTCAACCTGAATTTAATGTGTAGCATTACCATGGCACGCTGCAAAGCTTATGCACATTATTCCCCACCTCAGGCTTGCAACTTCAGCTCAACTTCTTTGAGCCACTTGTCCCACAGTTTTGATGAGAAGGTCCCAAAGTTTAACCCAGGGCTATAACCCAAGGCGGGTTATGAACACAAGTACTGTTTCAGATCTTAGTCTTGCCTTCAACATCTTTTGCACTACTGTCATTTTGCACTAGTTTTCTCTCTCTCCCTTCCTCCTCTTTCCCTACACAATGAAGAGACAAAAAAGGTAAGAGGCTGCCCAGCAAGCTGACTGCAAAGGGGAAATGGAAAAACTGCTTGAAAAGTTGTAAAATGCACAAAACGATTTTTTAAAATCACTATAGTCAATATTGATATTTTTGATGCACAAATTTACATTATTAACACCTAGAAATGCTTTTGAATACCCTACTGAAAATATCTTTTTGATGCAAGAATTAAAAAGCACAAAAATATCAGATATATCAGTTMCTATGGATTTTGCTTCCACTTGTATCTGAGTGATATCGAATGAATCTGAATTTTATTTGTAACAATTACAAACTAAAAGTAACTTGAACTCAAAATTGCCTCAAAAGTAACTCGAAATCAAAATTTAAATATAATAAAAAATGCCAGATTGACAGTGCTAAATTATCATATAAATCATCATATTTAAGCTTAGGGCTCAATAACACAAGCTTCCTCAACAACACCTCACTAGTGAATGTCTCAATTGCTTTCTATATAGAAAAACCTCTGTGTTTATATAATAACTATTAGATGTGTCAATGATTTTGTGATACAAATATACATCAAGAAAATAATAACAAGAATAACAGTACCAAGACAGGGTACTAGTAATCACTGTGGCAGCTCATGAGAGAGACATTGAGAATAAGAATAAACATCGAACATTGTAAATGATAACAAAAAATACAAAGAAGGCAGGAAGATTTCAATTCCAAACCAAAATTGGAAGTGGCAGCAATTATGACAAAAAATTGCAATTTTGCCTTTTTTTTTAACCTTTTGTAAAAAGCGGCAGTTTTTCTGTACTTAAGCATTTCACTGAAATACAGATCAYAATGGTAGGAGTACCTAGGTTATATTACATGAAACTCCAAAAATATGAGGGAATGTAAACTTCATTAATTTAAACATCCATAGATGCACACAAGTGGTAACTGTCCTAACAATAAAAGGAAAATATATATTGCTGAAATCACATGGAACTAAACCAGAATACCCCTTTACCAACCAGGCAGAATAAACTTATGTTTAATATTTTTTAAAGGCCACTTGACACAGGTTAATAACTCACTGATTACTAAAGCTGCAAAATATATAAATTTTATATAATTGTTTAACAAACATTAAATAAAAATTCATATTAAGTCATAAGGGCTTTTTTTGAGCATAAGCGTGTGCTGGAGAAACCTTGGGCACTTAAGTCGCTTGGTCTGTATTTCACTCTGCTATACGGAGATCTAAAACACATTCATTGAAAATTATTAGCAAGTTTCCTCCACCTAAGCAGATAAGGATTAATCAGAATCTTAATCTGGAAGCTACCATGACAACTACAAAAATATTTCACAAATATAAAATTCAGTAAGTAAAAAGTGCTTCCACATTTTCTATGTGGAATAAAAAGTAATTCCACATTAGTGGAATGCTACCTTTTTCACACCATTTACAATGCAGAGAAGGAATTTTTATATTAAAGAAATATTAAGATCAGATGCAACTTCTTCGTTAGAACCCATTTCAGATCTGTATATATTCAAGTTTTAGAATACATTTATAATACACTGATGTTTTATTTTTCTTTTTCTCCTGACTACTTACTTCATCCTATTACATGAAAGTCTCATAGCAACTATGATACTGACTGTAAAAAATTGTTAGCCTTCAGGTACAATAATTACAGTTATAACAACAGGTGAAATCATCTGCAGACAATTCATTCTTCTGCTTGGCGGCGCTCCTTTAACTTAAGATATTTCTGGAAAGAAGGAAATTACTTTTGGCCAAACTAGTTGCTCATGTTCTACTTAAAAGATCTAAACAAATAAATAAATTTCCAGGAGCCAAAGAGAAAACAATTCATAACGAAACAGAGAGATTTGCATGAGAAAAGGTTATGCCTTTTTTTTTTTTCCTCTCTTTTCGCACACAATCGGCAATAAACAGGTAAGAGAATAAATTATCTTCGAGACCAACACTAAATAACTCTAGGCACACAAAGCCACACACACCTGTTGCCATGTGGCTTTTTGCAAAAGCCACAGTGTTTGCTGGGAACCCAAGCAGATTTGCTTTCATTAGCAGGTGCCTGCTCCACGCCTTCCCGTTTTACAGTTGAAATATTATCTGGAATGAACAGAGGAGGTTCATCAAGCGAGAGACTTTTGCTACTTCTTCTCTGGCGTGGCTGGAGATTCTTATCAATTCTTTTTGATTTGTTTTTTTCTTTGTCATCTTCCTTCAAATGTTCTAGAGCAGAGGCATCTTTTGTGTCTGCCTCTTCCTTTGAGGAGTTACTTGTTTTCGGTACARTCGAGAGTAGATGTTTCTGGGCTTGCTTCTGGTGGGTATCCTTAGAAGAGCTTTGTTGAGTAGGAGATTTCTCATTTGCCCTTTGAATTGATGATTTATGTACCTGCCCAGAAGCCTGGACTCGGGGTGTTTTCTTCAGCATTGTATTGGTCTGCTTTTTTACTGTGACACCTGAAACACGGCTCTTTGTTTTCAAACCCAAGTCAGACTGTTTTTTCCTAATTTTGACGGGGTTATTTAGATGGTGAACTTGCTCATCTGCRTTACGCTTCACACCTGCTGAAGAGGAACCGTGAAGACCCGAAACAGCAGAACCAGCTCTTGTTTTCGAATGTGTTATTTCTTGTTGCACTGCAGCTACTTTCTGTCGAGTACCTGTAGTCAGATTTTGCTTATTCTGTATCACAGATTTACTGTGTCGGGGCCTCACATTTTTTTCACATTTTGTTGAAGCACTAAGTGCTTCATTATCCTGAATTTTTGAGGCCTCGGGGCCTTCTACTTTAGCGGTGCTGATCTGCTCTGGTACATTTTGACTTGTACTGTCAAGAGCGGTGCTATCTAAAATGTTACTTTCTGGGCCAGCAGAAGCAGAATCTTCACTTTTCAACTCTTTATTATCACACTCTGTACTGTCCAATAGTTCCTCAGAGAGAGTTACAGTTTTATCCGTCCCTGTGACATCATCTACAGGCTCTGTTATACATTCTTTTAAAGATAATACATTTTCATCAGGAACTTCATCCTGGGAACCTAACCTACATTCAACCCCCTCTTCCACAGAGCTGGACAAACCTGGAAAGATCTGATAAACTTCACTGGGAATTACACAACCACTTTCGRTAGGTGGGTCATCAGCTTTTCCATGTATCTTACTCTGATCATTTTCTTCTGCTTTCTTCTCCAATTCCTCTGATTCATTTGCAGTCTTTTCTGTTGAAGAAGCTTCAGATGCCATTGACTCAACTCCACCATCTGCTTCATTTTTAACTGCTGTAATTTCAGTATCTGCAGACGTTGAACAAACTGGCTCACTATTCCCCGAATCAGCCTTTGTAGCAGCCTCAGTTATCTCCTTTGCCTCTCCGTGAGGAGGAGGAGAAGCTCCTGCTAAATTAGAACAACTCAACTCSTGGGAGATCTCCTCAGCTTTTTCCTGATCAGGGGATTCTGATTTTACATCACTTGCCTCTTCAGGAGCAGGAGGACATTTTGCATTATTCTGGGGAGGTGTTACTGTCGTCGTTCCTTCTGCCTGTCCAGATCGCCTTGTGCTACGCCTAACTTCTTTAGGCTGCTCTACCTTCAGGGGTGCAGCAACATCTGCTTCTTTAGCTGGACTTCTCTCTTGCTGTTTCTGTCCTGTTTTCACAGCAGATCCACATTTCACAGATGATTTCTTGGTGCTAACAGGAGGTGCAACATTTGAACGCTTTGCTAGGGTGCTCTGCCGCAAACTCCGTACTGATTCTATTTAAGAGAAAAACAAAATCTCTTAGCTACCCTGTGTCTTTTCTTGGCAAACATGAGACTAATCTAGCATAAAAGTAATTTAGCTTGGATTAGCTTAGTGACCACAACAAGAATTTAGCCCCTAAGGGTTTGCTAAGTGTTTTAAAAAACAAACAAACAAAAACCACACCACACACTCTTTATTTCAAAAAGTTAAAAATAGCTGGCATTTCAGTTTTACAATGCCATTTTTGGACGTAAAATTTCCATATTCTAATGGTTATGAAAGTTCTGAATAGCCTTTTAAAAAACAGAAATGGCTCTGCTGTTAAAAAAAGGCAAAACTCACTTTAATAAATCATTTTCTTTTCTACCTAAACTAAAAACCACATAAGTAAATTACATTGTGATTAAAAACATAGCCTTTAACTTTACAAAGCTTTTAGAGATCACAGGTTATGAATCTGAGATTCAATCAACTTCTAAGAGGATGACATTCCTACATTTTCTAAGCAACAATGTATTTCAGCATCAGCATATATTGTTTAAAAAGCAAACTCTCCAGCTTTATAACATGGAGTCTTACTTAAACTCCATTAGGAACAGCCTATAAAAATTCAACTGACATCAAGTAAACGCAAAAGCTTTCGCCATCTATTGAATGATCACCTTGGGCCATTAAACGTGGAGATTTTCTTGGTGACGTGACTGACGTCTCTTCTGACCGGCTCCTCAGACTCCTGGTAGGTAGAACTAGCTCATCGTCATCGATGGTGTCGTTACCACTCTCTTTAACTCCTTCTTCATCCATAATATCATCAAGGCTAATAGCTGCAAAAAAACAAAAGAAAATGCCTAAAACTTAAATTGATCAAAAACATAAGAGCTGTAAGGTTGAGCAATGCGGGGGAAAAGACAGGGCATAAATATAAAATAGGGCTATTTAAAAACAAACAAAAGAGGAAATAAAAAGAAGAAAGACAAGGCAGAAAATTCCCACGTAAGCAGTTTCAGTGCAGAAGCTATCACCCAAAGTGTAAAATTTCTGTGGGCAATTCTTAGTGTTTTGGACTCACTTTTTTTTTWWWTTTTTTTTTTTTTTTTTTTTTTTGGGTCACAGGAAGGTTCCCAGCCTTAGAGGATCAGCTGTTCCTCGCTCTCCCTTCTTACCCAAGGAAAAGGGAAGACTGGAGAACAGCAGAGAGACAGCTGACCCAGAAGTGCAAAGGATTCAAATGGCAGTTTTCTTGCAGGGCGCCCRCCCACATCACACTGCCAAGGCCCTTTTCAGAAGGGCATGGAGGGCAGCACGCCCTGGGCTCCCAGCCGGCGTCAGGAAAACAAACTCCTGAACCTCCACTAACCTGAAAGGGTCCCAGAGGTGGCTCCTCAAAATAGGTTTCCTAAGAGGCAATCAGGCCAAGGTACCAGCCATTCTCCTCACTTTCTCTAAGTTTGGTTCTGCAATGGCAGCCTCTCCTATCCCAACTTCCTACGTGTGATTAATGAGGCTCRGTCCCTGCAGGATGCGAAAGTTGTGAGATCAAGCCAAACACCCAAGGGATTTTGTAAAAACAGAGAGGAGGGTTTGACAAATACAGCACAAACTCCAAACAACCAAACAAAGCTGTTTTTCACTACTCAGGCACCTACCTAGAAGCATTTTTCCAAACAGGCCAACTTATGTGACAGACAAAAGATCGCTAAAAACTTCTAACAACTGCTTACTTAATAGATTCATCTTAGAACTCAAAACAAATCAAGTTGTTAATAGAAATTGAAATTTGTTAGAATTTKTAGATGGTCTTGGAAAAATCTGACAATTCCTGCTCTTTTTTGACTGATTCACCACAACTTTAAGAAAATGAAATGCTTTTGTGAAACCAATTCAATACTGCAATAATGTAATAACAACAATGCTTAATTTTAAAGTAACAACAACAACAGTTGCAGCACACTGCTAAAGTCTCATGGTAATCCATAATCAAGCCTAGCAAGGCTCTCATTCAGCCCACAAGCTTCTGTCATGAAGAACAAAATATCCTGTTMATTTTAAATATTAAAAGGGTTTTAAACTGCCTTTTGAAGGCAGCCGTTCTTGGCCCTAGGGAAGCAACATTCCAGACCATGATAACTAGATATTTATCAGAAAGTAAATGCTAGGAGTTTCTTGATTTGAGTTTATGGTTATTGGTTTATATTTAAACCATAATTTTTAGTGACTGTGTTGTATACTAAGAAAAAATGTATTTCTGGAAATTACTGGCAGCTTTTTCTTTTAAATCCATAGAGGCATCCTTATGCATGGCTGTACATATGTACATGTGCTGCACACAAGCTGCAGAGGACTGATAAAATTAGTCTCACGCCACTCATTTAAATGTTCCTTAATCACCTGACTGCCAGAAGCTAGAAAGACGCACTCAGAAGAAGACTGCCCCTTAGACTGCCCTTAGACTTCATAAGCCCTTAAATATATGATATTGGGAGACAGTACAAGACAAGAAGCTAGGGATCCTTATCCTACCCCAGGCTGCCCACTTCTGTGTTTTTCAAGATTATAGTATTCCAGTAGTTCTGCWCTTTCTTATTAGCACTTTTATAATAAAAACACAGGAGGTTCCATSTCCATATGAGGAAGAACTTCTTTACTGTGAGGGTGGCTGTAAACTTCTTGGCTTGTGAGGGTATAACTTCTTTACAGCCAGAGAGGTCGTGGAGTCTCCTTATCTGGAGATCTTCCAAACCCGCSTGGACGTAGCCCTGTAGCCCTGTGCCCCGTGCTCTGGGTGTCCCTGCTGGAGCAGGGGGTTGCACTGGATGATCTCCAGAGGTCCCTTCCAACCTCAGCCATTCTGTGATTCTGTGATAAAGTGCTCTTACAAAATGTGCAATCGGTGTTAGGGACTAGAGTGTAACAAAAGAGACTCCTCACAGATCCTCTACCTTCTCTTCAGTGAAGGACTCAAACAACTATGGAAGGTAACGCAATGAGTAAAGACCATCGAGACAGCTTCTGAAACCCATCTGGAGCAGGCCTTAGGGGTCCCATTACAGCTCCATGTTTTATAATGCTCTAACACAAGTTAATTTATTTATGCACCCTTCTTTATTAAGGCACCAATCCAGTATCTATTAACAGATATTAGTTTGAAGTATTTGAACGCATACTTACAAGACTCTGTGCTGTAGCTTTAATTTTACAGAGGAGTTTGAAGCACAGAATCTTGTTACTTTCAAACCATCTGAGCTCTAATGCAGCTCTTAACAACACTATGCATGCTCCTCATCCAGCCTCAACACAGAAACCTGCTGGGAAAAGAAAAAGCAACAGGAACAGTAACAGACACAGAAGGAGGCTAGAAAACTACATTATGAAAGGGAAGCAGGGCACAGAGACTGGTTTGGAGAGATGTGACAAGCGGAGAGAGAATCAAAAGAGCAGAAAGAGGTATAGGTGACCTCAGTAATAAATATATGAAAAAGACAGAGATAAAAGACAGAAAATCAGTTATGAAAAAGGAGGGAGGAAAAAAATACTCTCAAATTGGAATGGTAAAGTTGTATATTTCACTATTAACAAGCTCCAAACAGCTTAACAAGCACCAAATACAGAAAATATGGGTCATGTTCAATATATGAATACTGAAAAATGCACCACTGGCCATCAACTTAAGTCTTTTAAGTCAGTTATCCATAATACTCCAAAAGCTTTTAAAACACCAAGCTACTGCAGTGGGTTACTGCCAAACAGTAAAAACAGCTTAGTTAACGATTTAAAGTTTCTGTATATTAAAACATTAATATGACAACTTTTTAATTCTCCATCCCTACAAAACTGAGAAAAACAAGACTTCTGAATTMCTAAGGGAAGAGGAAAGGAGAAATACTCCTAAAATAACATCCAAAACTTTGAATCTCACATCTTTATTGTGTCCTCTTTTATTAACGTAACTCTTCCCTTGATTACCCACAGCCAAAACCTACAAAGCAATACTTGAATTTTATGACACACAGTCAGAGTAAATCCAAATTGCAGAAAGCTTTTTCTTCCTGCCGCTGCCCTAGCTGGTGTCCTGYGGGCTGCCTCGGCACACGGGGCAGAGCTGCGCTGTTCCGCGCGCCTCTAGCGCTACCTGCACCCACATCATAAGGGCAGAACCAAACGTGTCCAAATGTGTCACTACGTTTGGGTTCCCAAAGCATCACAGCTGTTATAAAAATGATTAACCATGTACATACCATGCCTAAGCATGGTATAGCATATGCTGGGCATAAGTTCAGCAGATTATGCTGCTGAGGACATAAGAACTAGCAGTGATTTTAGTGGAAAAAGATGGAAACAACCTAAAGCARGAACAACTACACATCCAGGTAAACCTTAAGTAATGGTAATAACACACTGTAAAGCAATAAAATATGTGTTTATAGTGGAAAAATTAACACTAAATCTCAAGCTTTACAAATTAAGAAGGCTTATTTTATCTTTTTTTCCTAATGACATCTGAGATACATTCATTTATTCAAAAAGCAGCTTTAAAAATACACTTTGATAGAGAAAAACAAAATTTTCAAGAAAGATGAAGTCAATGATGATGTTTACATACGAAATCACAAAATTCCAATTATTTTTAGGACTTTTTCCCCTATAAGCATGAAATCTGTTTAACTGAGAAGAATTTGCCTATCATTACCTTGCAATAACCCTGCAAGATAAGAAAGGAATCGCAGCACTCAGTCTTTGAAATACTGAATTAATTGTTTACACCTGGTTCTTTTAACCCTCCTAAATTGTAGAAAGGTTCCTCCCCCCCCCCCTTTTTAATAATATGAAACAATCAGGATTAGTGAATGTAACAAGACTGCCAGAATCTTGATAGAGGACTGAATAGCCATTTAAAAAAACAATGGGGTTACATCCCAGGGCTACGGATTCAAAATTCTCCGGCTACCCAAGTCTGCTACTTTGGATGTGCAAAACAGTAAAGGAGAAAAGCCAATACTGAAAAACAGAGCAAATACATCTATTATTTTTTATTAAGAGAGCCTTTAAGAGGGGTTTATGAATATACTAACCACCTGGCAAATCTTTTTATGAACCAGTATCTTCCCATCCATAAAACTGATCTAAAGGAATAAATGACTAATTTTTCCAAATTAGACCCACAGCAGGGAAAACCAGCAGTATGTTACCCAGAAACAAACAAAAAAGCATGCAAAATAAACATTTTCCAGGTTCTCAATAACACAGCAATATAGCAGATTTAAATTTTATACAGAAAAGTTACTACCTTAGTCACAAGGCAGTGTGCAACTGTTCACATGGAGAGCGTGGAGGAAAGAAGGCAGGGAGAGGTAAGAATACTGACAAACAGCAGACTATTTCGGGCAGCAACCTGAAGGTTAGATTCACGGTTACTTCATTTGCAGGAGAAAAATAAACACATTCGCTTTCAGTGAAAAGAGCCTGAACCTGCTAACACGGACAGACACAGTGCTGGCTGAAGAACAGCATTTGCCGGCTGAACTTCTTGGCTCCAAACATTTGGAAGGTCATTGCAATTTTAGCAGAGGTAACGGTGCTTTCACCAGCACTAACGAAATCCCAGAGCAAAATGAGAGAGAGAGAGCAGGGTGCACTCGGGGGAAATGCTTCCACACTCCAAGCAGCAGCCTAGAGGGGCAGGAAGAAAAGGGTAATTGAAAAGATGCCCCCGTCACCCTTTGCGTGCTCCCTTGTAAGGCCAATCTTCCTCACCATTTGTTAGAAATCCTTGATATGATTCACGTACCCATAAACTTAATCACTTCAAAGTGCAATTTTATTGTGAAGTACSAAAACATCTCTGGAAAATACATAAGGCAAATTCATTTCCCTCCATTAAATGCATAATAAATCAAATGGCTCTGGGGAATGATATTCTGAAAAACTACAGTGTTCACAATACCGATTTAGAGGTGAGAAACACCAATTTAGCAGGATCACTGTAATTKATATGTAGTTTATACTGGATCTTACAGAGGAAGAGTCTGTGGCTGTTTACCATAAATTAGATAAACCAYCACTGTGCCGTGGCTAAACTCCACAGGATTCACAGTAAAGGAAATCTTAGCTATATAAGTGTTCAATCTGACCTGCTATGCTAACAAATTCTTTAAAGAAGTGGATAAGATTTCAATTTCAGCAAGAAATAAAAAAAAAATCCAAAACCCACCTCTTCCATCATGGAAGTCTTTGGAAGTCCATACATAAGTCTTTTTTAAGAGTTGTTCCCAAAAGCTACAGCATACCTTAAGCTTCACATTTCACTTTTTCAACTTCTGATTACAGAATTACTCAGGAGAAAGAGTGAAAAGGAAAAAAAAGAAAGAAAACGTGGAAGACTGCCCAACAATTGCTCTACATAATCTACCCACCCATGGTGACTATTCAGCTTTTGGGAAAACCTCCACCYTACTCTACTTAAGACCAGAAAGGCACAAAGACACAGTCAAGGCTTAACACACAATGTGGGACACTCCTGAATACTTCAACAGCTTGGGCTTCACTTTAGTTCTTTAAAACCTCATTTTGTGAAATTCTGTCCTCTAACTGGTCAAAAAGGCAGTTTTATCAACTTCTACCAAATGTGCTAGGCCTTTACTGGCAGACAGTAAATAGCTTTCACTATGCTGAAGTCCTACAAAGTGCAGTAACAAGATCAGTGGAGTGCTGGTACTTCCATTCACTGAAATGAGAAAAGACTTCTCAACTTACCACAAACCAGCTATCTTTTCAGCTTTAAGCTCATCACAAACAGATGGCAAAAGGACCTCAGARTCATCCATTGATTTGTCCCACACATTTTCTAGCTTCCGGAAAAGTCAGGAACAGTTATCTCCACCATGGCCCACAGCTGTTTACAGAAGGTGCTGCCCAAACAACTAGCATTTTCCAAACTGCTCAGTCAAATCCCATCAAGCCAAGCCTGTGCCATTACTCAGTGGCAAGTAAGCAGGAAGCTCACAGAGTGGACCAAGATCAACAACATCATCTAACTGAAGAAGGAGCCACTGAGATCCGGCACAGGACTGGTTCAGGCAGGGACACACACATGAAAGTGCTTTCCTGGCACTGATAAGTCTCCTGCTATCAGGGACAGGCACAGCACRCACTCTCGTGCTCTCTGCTATCTTTCACATCAGCAATGCAGACCACGAGATGTTACTACCTTCCCTGACCAAAGTACAGGGAGCCTCACTTGCGAAAGAGCTCGTGTGCTTGCTGGGCAGATGCCTCCAGCAAGTTGTGACTGGAAATTAAACTTCAACTCACATAAAAATCTGTGTCATTCTGCTCAGCATTAAAGTAGATGAGTGCTCGCACTACRTACAGGACATGCAACCATTAGCAGCTCAGATCAAACTCAAACCATCTCTATAAAAAGAGCTTAGTATTAATAAAGTGTTAGTGCATGGTTAATGATGTGCAACATAAATGCTAAAGCTGAGCAGAAGAGATGCAGCGTTGATGAGCAGTAATATTGAATGAAGCTTGTAAATGTCACCCAGCATGAACTGAACTCAACCCAGCAGTGAAAAGAGGGTAAAAACAGATCCATACCTGAAAAAGCTTGCTCTTAAGAGCAAGAAATGTACTCACAAGCACTAAGAAACTTTCATATTTAAAGACATACTATCTTGTCTTACAGCTGAAGGAGTGAGAAGTCAATGTACTTGTTCTGTGCACAGGTTTGTGAATGCTCTTAGCTCCCTGCTCAAATCCAGCTTTCACGGCCAGACTTTTGCTTCTCCATTTTATCTTTAAGACCCTACTCAATTTTAGCCCAATTACCTCGTTCTAACTATCTACGCCTTTATTGTTTCAGTTAGCTCACAGCAGTGCTACAGGGTGAAACCTTCACCACTTTGTAAAGGTAAACGGAGACAGAACAGAATACATTTAAATTACTGATGGTCCAGTAAGGATGCTAAATCTATCCTTTGCTGTTTATACTGACCTTCTGAACCAGTTTTCATGAACATTTTGCTCCTTTTTTAAACTGTTCCATGGACTAGATATGAGCAATGCAAAATGCTGTTTAAATGTCTAAAATAAGGTTATGGTGGATACATTTCTACCTTTGGAAAAATGGACTCTTCTTCAGGAGTCAACTCAAGACTGCCAACAGAATTAAAGACATAAGRAACACCACCATCTTCGACTTTCTTAGGACATAACATTTCTTAGTTCTTGCCCCGGTTAACATGAATAGGTAACAACAAATGTACTTACTTAAAAGCGGTAAAATCTTACCAAAAATAGGTCTCAAACTGCAAGCCTTTTCCTCTAGGGAAGGAATAAGATAACAGCCAACAGACAGCCATCCTGTAACCACACTTYTTAATGCACCATAGGATAAACTCATATTAAAATCCCACACAGTAAGAATTAAAAGAGAGAAGGAACTAGATGAAYTAGAAAATAGTAAAATATCTTTTTGTATGGCACAGTCTTGCAGCTCTAGGGATATAAAGCAAGGCAAGCTTTGTGGGAAGAGCTCTTCTCTTTTCCAGTACAATCAATATTGGATAGAGAAGTTTTCGGGCACAGAATCTGAGGGGCAAACGAAACAAAACAAAGAACTGGTCTCTTTTAACAAAAATCTGTCCTCTTGTATGACTGCCCTGTTACCTACAGACAACATAAACTGTATTAGGTCACCAACAAGCCTTTTGGACAAATCAAATTAATGACATACTGCATAAAGACTTAAGAAACAGACAAACAAAGACAATCATGACTTCAAACTGATAATTGCTATTCCCAACTAAAAGGAAAAAAAAAAAAAGGGAAAAAAGAAATATGGCTATAGCATCTCAGAATAAAATGACAACTCTTAGCAAGACCTATAAAGAACTGGCAACAGCAGCAAGAGCATTCTCTGATATTCTAAATGGATTTCACATTTTCAATGTTTTGATTCAAAAATTGCACATTTTCATTTACTTAAAAAAATGTGATTCTACAGATTACAAAAAAGTAACTACAAGAACTGAGCATAATACAAATCACTTTGCTTCCCTGAGTATGCAGGCTGCCCGAAACAGCAGACCTCAAAACTCACTGCAGTAGCAAGCCCAACGCTTGCATAAGACAGTTTAAATATGAATAGTATTAATTATTCCATTGATGATCACTTTTTGGAGAAATATTCAGCTAGTGTGCCAAAAAGTCCCAAAACTAACTACCAAATAACTACATAACTACCAAAATATCCAGCTATATTCTGTTAATCAATACACAAATCTTAAATGCAGTATATGTTTACTGAAGGATGCACAGCTATTGATAGCATGATACTAGAAACTRTATCACTGTTATTCTGGGAGAAAATATAAGGTTTTGAGAGGAAGAATTGATTTGGTTGTGCAACTCTTTTGCTTTCCTTACACTGATGAAGATTAAAATAACATTTTGGGGGGTTAAAGAGAAGTATAAGAATATTGCCAYATTCTTATTTTACGTACAAGAAGAAGAACAGAAAACTAAAGCTGGCCTCAAATCGTATTGTACACAGTGCAGACTTAGTCTGTTGGTAGAAATACAATACATCCTGTATTAGGAAATGATCAAAATTTTCAGAAACAGTCCACAAAAGTTTCTAGAATGTTTTTAGATGTGAATGTAGTYAAACTTAATCAAAATTATTCACAGTAATCTATAATTTTTTTTCCAGCCAACTCTTTTTTTAACTTCCGAACAAGAAAAACTATTAAGTATAGAACAGTATATTTTCATCTCTAAAATGAAATTCAGTACAATTATTCCTGCTAATTATTAGCGATTTCGAGAAATCAGACTACTATTTTTTTTAATCTTTYAGACTGTTTCAACAGCCTTCTAATTATTCTCATTTATCACTTTTTTAATGAATAGATTCTAATCCAAATGCTTCCAAATAACTGTATTATCCAGTGTTTTGCTCAAAACAAAACAAAGAGAAACATCCCCATGTGGTATTAGCTTCCAGTACTAGCAGTCTGAGTACTAACAGAGTAACCCTCAAGTCAGGGCTATAATTTGCACCTATTGCTAATCCCGACTTGTTAAAATTTTGAAAGCAACAGGTGACTTCCCTGATAGGACACAGTACTTAGGCTAAACAAATCACAATTTTAATTGGGAAAATTCTATAGGTGCTCCATACAAAGTTTGAATTGCTTCTGATCCAGGTTAGGAGGAGCCTTTCTCCACTGCAACACAACCAAGTTAAAGAACAGACTGCACAGGTTATGAGGCCTGACATGTAAGCAGTGCAACAAAAGGGGCAGTAAGGAGAGAGAAATCCCAAAGTATTACCTCTACATTATCAAAAAGGGATGGCACTAAAGAATTACTGAATTTTAAACTGTAATTTTAAAAAAATTGTAAGATTTACCTGTTGAACAAGGCATCTGGAAATTGGGATCATTGCTATCCAAAACAGGCAAACAGAACTGGGCACTTGCAGATCCTAGCATAGGATCCTTATCGCTGAGCATGTTCTTCAGCGAATCCTCTAAGACATTTTGACTTGTACTAAAATCCTCACAGCCTTCATTCTCCAGGTTGGATCCTAGAAATAGGGCATCATCTAAGTGTTCAGTAGGAATTAAATGGCTAAATGTATCAACTATATCCATGAAGACTCCTGTGTGTCTTTCAGCCCTATAGAAAGACAAGAAAAATATCATAAGAAAATAAGCTACAAATTGTAAAACACCTAAGAAACCAGCAAATTGTTTTGGCTGTTGTGCTTTATAAAGAATTCGTAAGGTATTTTAAAATTTTTAAAAAAAGAAATCTGCTTATAGGCTAGAGCGTCTCACTGCAGATCCAAAACAAATTTATTTCTAATTCATTAAAAGAACTCTTGTGAAGGTTATGAATAAAAGCTCTTCCATCARCAGAGTGTTGCCATTTCTACAGGCTGAATATAACAACGGTTAACAGGAACACTTCCTTCCTAAAATTTGTTTAGACCTGAACCAAKCAGGGCAGGGAAAGAGAGGGGAGGGGAAATGCACAGGGGATCCAGCACAACTAAATCTGGAAMGTAGCAAGGGGACATCTCTCCTCGCCTTTAAATATAAAAATCCTGCACTAACCTCAACAGACCTAAGAAAGCTCAGGAGCTGGGCCCCAAATTACTAGGGACTATATTTCCATTCAATTATTTTATAGCAGGTGACTATGTTTAAGCTGAAAAGTCTTAATGCATATTTCAGCTACTAATAATTCAGGAAACATACAGAAATTTTGTATGAAAACTTGACTTCATCAAGTATATGGGAATCTTGTCAGCTAATTTTATGAGGGGCAGAATTTTACCATCCTGTTACTAGCCATAATTTTAAGGAAGTCTAGGTAATATTTAATGCCTGAATTTAACAAAAGATTGCACATATATTTTACCACAAGGCATCCCTCAATTCTAAGAAGCTTTTCAGTGATATAGCAGAAATGCAAATAATCCAGCAAGGATTCAGCTAATAATAAAATATGTGCATTAGAATGAAAAACCAGCAAACAAAACACTTCTTCAAAACTTTAGCTTAACCATGTACTTAAAGTACTGACAGATAATTGTAACAAAAACAGTGGTTAGGAAAACTGAATAGAGGCTGGCATCATTTGGCTTTCAAGAAAGACTGGAAGCCCAGTTGTAGCACACAAAAATTGCTCAGGCCTTTGGAAACAGAAAAGGACATATATCTTTCCTCCCTCATCTACCCCTGACAMAGTAGTTAGGAATTAATTAAACAAAAAGAGAGAAGTGGGATTTAGAGATTTTAATACTTGAATTACTTTCTACATCCCTATTTGAATAAATTATTCTAAAATAAAATAAATAAATTCACTAGAATAACAACTTTGCTTCCTTATACATCTTAACTGGATATTTCTATTTTAATAACCAACAGAGAAAATCTTAGGTAAACAGACTGTTAAGAAATCTGCTACAAACGCAGTCATACTATTACAATTTATGGCTATTTTTATTTCACAAATTTACAAACACTACAGGTGAACACAAAAAACACATTTCTCACTAAAAACATGGTACTCTTTCTGTAGAAAAGAAAATATAGGCCATACAGGACAGCTAAGCCACTAGGCCTCTGCAGAACACAGTGTCTTCACAACAGCCCAGACGAAACAGCAGCACAGGATTCCCTACCTACCAACCAGGCAGCTGGCAGGAAGGAAGAGCAAGTCAGGTGCCTCTATGTGGGAGGGTAACAGTCTTGCTGCAACAAATGTGTTAGAATCGACAACTCCCTACATCAAAAATGGCACTACTTCTATTAAGTGTTGCCCTGCATTTACATATATATCATGCCAACTAGTGCCTATACTACTCCATACTCTTTCCCCCCCCCCAAATCACAGAGTAATTTCCAAATTATACGATGAATAAAGTACAAGGCAGAATTGGGAAGCACTATACCATACCATATAACCTGTTCTACTAATCCCATGCAACAGAGTTACAACAACTAGGTATCATACAGGATAAGCCACAAGAGCCTCAGTGGCTCAAAGACAGACACTAATTACCAATGTCACAAGCTGGTACTTTTTAACACTTTTCTACAAGGAGAGTTCTTTGCACACTGGATAAGCACAACAGTAAAAAGCACAGGTTAGCACAGTGTGAACTTCACCACAAACCAGTGCCAACRACACTGCAGATACAACATTCATGATCTACTACAAGCAGTTTTTGTACATCAATACCAAATATCAAAGAGCAGCAACAGCTCTGAACACATTTACAACATGGCCCATCTCAAGGGGTTTGCTTGTTTGTCTTTCTCTACCTAGGATACAAACATTTACACAATTCTTATTCAAACTGTTCTGCTAGCAAAGCAGTGCTAATATTAAGAGCAGTTTTTAGGAATAATATTTGGGCAAACAAGAGCCCTTACTATAAAAACAGTTGAGAACATTAATACATTTCTACCTTCAGCAGTAGGATGAAAATAAAAGAATATCTACAGTTTTGCAAGAATGCTATGCAGAAAAATAAAAGCATTTCAAAATAATTAACACATTACACTGCTCATGCAAAAGACAMAGCCACCTTCCACAACGCCAACCTAACTACCAGATAGAATTTAAGAGAAATTTTAGGAAAACAACTCACTTCTGGAGTACAACTCTGTGGTCAAACACAATTCCTATCCAAATTTTGCATCAAAAGATGCAAAAGATTTTTCATCAAAAGATTTTGCATCAAAAGCATGAAAGTGTTTGCATGTAAAATCCTACAGCCACAAAATTAAAAAAAAAAAAAAAAAAGGTATTTTCTGCAAGCTGTTGTCAAAATAGAGAGACAGACTGGGAAAGCAGGCAGAAAAACAACTTTGCCGTACCTAGTTCAAGAAGTTGAAGTTCAACATGTTGCATAACATGGTGTACAGCACCATGTTTACAACAGCATTTTCATTACTGCACGAGCACTAGAATCTGTGGGACCTGGCAATATAAGACAGATGTATTTCTTCCTAGAAAGGTGATATTTAGAAACAATTGCTGCCTTTAAAAAGGTTTACTAAAACAATGCCTAAAAAGAATGGGAATTTTGAAGGTTGGGGATTTTTTAGGCACTTGAAATTCCAAATAAATTGGAAAAATATATTAAGATATAGTCTCTTGTTTCTAATGTAGTTCTAAAAGTTCTTTACAAGAACTCAGAAATCTCTCATTTCTCTAGGAAACAGCAGTGAGATCCATTTGAACCCCCTAACACTTGGCAATGCTTAAAGCAAAACTGCACATTCCAAGCGTACTTCCATGGTGCAAAAGATCAAAAGTGTGTTCSTGCTTGCTATTAACCAGTAACAGCAGCCTTGAGAAATCTCACCAGGTTCATAGGACCAGTGAGAAGAGCAGGACTGGTCAGGAATTAGGCACAAGAGCAAAGACCAGACCAGCAAGTCTCAGGCACGAAGATTTTGCACAGACTGAGGGTGATATCCAGCGGCTCCTGGTGCACCAGGGAATGTCCTGCGACTCCCTTACAGCACACAACTCTCCAACACGTATCAATAAAAGAGATGGGGGGGGAGGGGGTCAACAGAGCTGAAAAAATTATAAAAAGCTAAAGCTGTGGAATACAGCCTTCTCCTTAATTCCATAAATAAAGTATATTTCTCATATACTGTGAGGCCAATTGGCTTAAATGAGCTTTCTGCCAAATAACAGGTACTCRTGGAAGTAACTCATCGGTTAAAATGTTTATCATTAAATTAGCCATCATTAAAAGCCACACCATTAAAAAGAAAAAAGCATATTACAAGTAAATAATTCCTTTAGTTCCCAAATTAATTAGGGTTGGTGTGTCAAAATACTGCCTCAAATCCTCCCCCCCCAAAATTATATCACGTACACTTTAGTATTTGATACAGCAAATTTTAACCTTGCCTCCTATTTACTACTTTTTCATTGTATTACCTGCAGCTCCTTTTGGCTTTCCAAAATTAAAAGAACCAGAAGGTTAACTTGCTAAGGAAACTAACTCAGACTAAAACAGTATGTCCTTTTAAACTAGTCTTACAGAGATGGGGAGACTAATAYCAAAACAAAAGATGCTGCACGCAAACATTTGTCCCATGGTTCAGTTTATCCATGAAAAGAGGCAAAAATTACTTCAGTTCCTTTTTAAAATGCCTCAGCAGATATACAAGTGCTTGAGCTTGCCCACCACCTCGGGCAGGGGCAGACATGAAGCGTCACTGCCACTAGAAAACCCGACTGCCTCTTGACTGAGGCACTGCCCAAACTCTTGGACTAGGCACACAGGACGTGCAAGTGCTTGTTTTCCAATTACATATTTGGATTTTTTTTTTTTTATTAGGTATGTTTGTCTTATTCCCTTTTCCTTAAGGTATGTTTTTTTTTTAGTTTTAGTTGTACTTCTACCTGATTTATTTTAATAGGCAAAAGTTAGTGCTCACCATAATTACCTCCTCCCCTTTCACTGCCCAGTGGGGGCCAYCAACGTATTAGCTTTTATTTTCTACACTGACAACCCACCTACCAACCAACACTGCTCCAAACTGCAAGTCATTTTATACTTTCAGAGTAATTATGCTCAAATATTAAGATTATTTTCTATTAAAGGACTCAAAAAATAAACTTTAGAAAATTGTAATGCTTTTAGAGAACAATTTAACAACAACAAAAGACTGAGAAAAAAAGGAAGAAAAAAAAATGCCTATCCAAAGAGGTAAAAGAGATTTCAAGGCTTAAGATACCCCAAATCCTAGGCATGCCACAATCCTAGATGTTGAAAATCCCATTTATATTATTGACATACCTGAATCTGTAAGACTTATAAAGCTGCTAAAGCGACAGCACAGTGGCATTACAACTCCTTCCATTTCATTTATATACCCTTCTGTGCATTTTCTATTGCCTTTTCATACTGTATTCAATTTACTTGAATTTGACTCCTAAAAGCTTTTTTCAGTAGTAACCGACTTAAATAGTGGTGGAAACATTAGCACAGTCAAAATACAACACATGCTCAGTTGTCTTGCAAATTGTTTTCTTTAGATAATCCATTCCAAATAATTAAGGACAAAACAGCTTATAACAGTAATAGCATACTCCATTCAAAAAAATCCTATTT